AGAAATATTCCTTATTTAGGGTTCCCCCATTATATAAGGGGACCTCAATCATTTGTGAGACCATCTTTTACTGAGAAAAGAATATACTCTCTACCTTTTTGCCTGTTGTTCATCAGAATTGTCCCTTAGCTTGATTTTCTTACCTCATTGTTCTTACTGCCTTAAGCCACCTCGAGGTCACTGTCTCGAGGTCACTGCTGCTAACTAGCATTGGTTTGATTCACTTCTATCTTTCATTTCTACTTCATATTTCTTGATTATTAATTGGTATTGAACTAAATCACATATCTTTAAAATCACAAATCAAGTTTAATTGTTACTCGCACTTTTCGAGGTAAACAGTTTGGCGCCCACCGTGGGGCTAAAGATAATAGTGATTATTTCTTTACTGATTCTCGTTACACACGTTGTCTTTACACTTTTTCTTGTCGAGATTTTTTGATTTTCAGGCTTGAACATGTCTAGCACACAAAACGCGCATGTTCATGACAGTGAGGCTCTTGGAGAAAACAGCGGTATAGGGGTCGGTGTACCACCCGTAAACCCTGAGGGAGTGCCAAATATGAAGCCAGTTGATATCGGTTCGCATAACGCTCTAGACACGGGTGCAGGCACTGACCCCGTAGGGAATGCACGCAGGGAAGCTCGACCAGAGGACCAAGGAACGCCAGGAGTAGGAGATGGGGGAGTCAGTCTCCAAGTGATATTCGAGATGTTGCAGGCTCAGCAAATCGCCATCGCTCAACTCCAAAGTCAAAATAAAACTCCGAGCGTAGCTGAACATGAAAAAAATCAACATACTGAGCCAACGCCAGAGAGATCTAATGAAAATGGCTCGGGGACTAACTCCACGATTATGAAAATGTTCGAAGAGCTCACTAAGAGTATTGAGTCCGGGGAAAAGAAAATTGAAGATAATGATAAAAAAGTGGAGACCTATAACTCCCGTGTAGACCAGATACCAGTGGCACCTCCAATTTTGAAAGGTTTAGACGCCAAGAAATTCATACAGAAACCATTCCCTCAAAGTGCGGCACCGATGCCCATTCCCAAAAGTTTCGCATGCCCGACATACCCAAATACAACGGAACAACGGACCCTACCGAACATATTACTTCATACACTTGTAGGATCAAAGGAAATGATTTGAATGATGATGAAATCGAGTCAGTGTTGTTGAAAAAGTTTGGGGAAACACTCTCAAAAGGAGCTATGATTTGGTATCACAACTTAGCTCCTAACTCTATTGACTCATTTGCTATGTTTCGTTAGAGCTCACGCCGGGGCCATAAAGGTGACCACGAGGAAATCAGACGTCTTCAAAATTAAGCAAAGGAACGACGAGATCCTAAGGGAGTTCGTGTCCCGGTTTCAGATGGAAAGAATGGAATTACCTCCGGTCTCCGATGGCTGGGCAGTACAGGCCTTTATGCAAGGTCTAAATGAAAGGAGTTCGATCGCTTCTCGGCAGTTGAAACAGAACTTGATTGAATATCCAGCTGTGACATGGTCGGATGTGCACAATCGTTATCAATCAAAAATCAGGGTCGAGGACGACCAGTTGGGAGCCCCCTCGGGTTCAGTGTATCCTAACAGACTAGTGGCCAAGCCCCATAGGGACAAAGATCGGAGATCGAGATTCAACAAAGAGCAATATCAGCTGTATGCCGATCGAAGGAACAGCGGCCCGAGTCGCAACACTCCCCGGAGTGATCGAAGAAACGATCGAGGTCAAAGTTCTCGGGGACTCATGAGCAAAAGCGAATTTGATAAGCACTCCGACCCCGCAGAAGCTCCTCGATTATCAGAATACAACTTCAGCATCGATGCATCAGGGATTGTCTCCGCTATTGGGAGAATTAAAAACACCAAGTGGCCCAGGCCCATACGGACCGATCCTTCTCAAAGAAACCCGAACTTGATGTGCAAGTACCATGGCACACATGGTCATCGGACAGAAGATTGCAGACAGCTAAGGGAAGAAGTGGCTCGCTTGTTTAACGAGGGTCACCTTCGAGAATTTCTAAGTGATCGAGCTAAGAATCATTTAGGGAGAGAGACGCAAAGAAAAATGAGCAAGAAGAACCACAGCATGTAATCCACATGATCATTGGCGGAGTCGATGTCCCTCAACGACCTATATTCAAGCGCACCAAAGTATCAATCACAAAAGAGAAATAGAATCGGAGCTATGTGCCCGAGGGTGCCCTATCATTCTGTGACGAGGAAGCAGAGGACGCATCACAGCCTCACAACGACGCCCTGGTAATCTCTATCCTTTTAAATAAATTTCAATTTAAACATGTTTTAGTGGATCCACGTAGCTCAGCGAACATAATCAGATCGAGGGTCGTAAAACAACTCGGCCTGCAAGATCAGATTGTACCTGCGTCCCAGGTGCTGAATGGCTTCAACATGGCAAGCGAAACAACAAAGGGAGAAATTATCTTGCCAATAAACGTAGCCGGGACCATACAAGACACCAGGTTCCATGTCATCGAAGGTGACATGAGGTATAACGCACTCCTCGGGAGACCATGGATACACAACATGAGGGCAGTGCCTTCGACTCTCCATCAGATGATGAAATTCCCGACAGAGGAAGGAGTGAAAACAATTCACGGGGAACAGCATGCTGCAAAAAAGATGTTTGCAATCGAGGAAGTGGTGCCGATGCCGGCACCCTTGGCCTCGGAGAAGTCGAGCTCTAAAGGTAAGCAGGTGGCTAAGTAGCAATCACAGCTCCAAGCCTCGACGGAAGCAGAATAACAGGTAACCGAAGGCGAAGAAGGGAACTCCCCAGCTCCTCGAACCTTCGTTGTTCCCGAGAAGCCCGATGCTGCCAAGTCAACCACTCAAGAGAAAGGTACACCTAGGAACGGGATTAACCCCCGAACTCAGGAAAAAACTCGTTTAGTTTCTTATTGATAATGGATTGCATTTCTTGGTCCCATTTAGATATGACAGGGATTCCGCCGGAAATCACCACACATAGGCTGAGCAACAGTCCCAGGTTTAAACCAGTGAAACAAAAAGGGAGGCCCTCAGTTCGAGAAGCCTCGTACCAACATCTAGTCGATCGGATGTTCGAAGAACAAACAGGTAAAATAAAGAAAGCCTATATTGATGATATGACTGGTTAAGTCCCTGTGCATAGAGGACCATTTAATTCATTTGCAGGAAACAGTCAATGTTTCGGGGCGATGCGACACGAAGCTCAACCCAGAGAAATGTGCCTTTGGAGTTGGCATAGGTAAGTTTCTCGGCTTCATGGTGTCAAATCGGGGCATCAGAATCATCCCCGACCAAGTTGAGGCTTTCGGAGACATCACGATCGCGAATAGCAAGATAGGACCGCATTGAGCCCTCAGAGTCATTGGTAAAGGATCTTACAAGCTCGGCACGATGGTAGCTCTCAAAGGCTCGTGATCTCGAAGACACCCTTTTTACACGAAGGCCTTAGGTTTTAAAGCATGCGTTGCACTCTTTTTCCCTTGGCTCGGATTTTGTCCCAAATGGGTTTTATTGGTAAGGTTTTTAACGAGGCAACAACTATGTGCTGCCTAAGGAGAACTCAACAGTATCCAAGGTTTCTTTTTAATCAACCCCGAATACTGGGGGACATCACCCTCGGAGGTTATATTGTCAAGGAAAATACGTCATGCCTAAGAGAACCTCGATAGGAAAACTTTGTAATGGGCCAAATGGTCAGATGAACCATGTCCATATAGTAATCAAGCCTCGACAGCAAAGCATGTACGCATGTATCAATTCTGTTAATATCAAAAACACTTTGTGTCTCAAAGAAGTCTACTATTACACGAACTCTACACTCATAATCCTACGGGAAACGGCTCAAGAGCCAAAGCATAAAAGCACCCCGAACACTCGGGGACTGTCATCGACAGTCAGTACATCCGAGTCATCAAAAATTTAGACTTATAAGACCTTAAAGAGGCGACCCCTCGAAACAAAGTCCAAGGCCAATATGCTCGGGGACTAACTTTTTGAACAAGTTCGGGAAGTTATCGGGAAACAAATCCAAGTGATGTACCCGAAGGCTACGGCCATATTAAAGACTACAGTCATATGAAGGCTACGGCCAAAATAATGCGGCTCGGAGACGTCCGACTTCCGCTATAAATCAAAGGCCTTCAAACACTTTGTAAAAACCAGTTAAATCAGGCTACTCTCGGCAAAAGCAAAATATAAAGGGCTTCAATAAATTCAGCACCCAAACAATCTAAGGGCCTCGATAAATTCAGCCCTCGAATAATCCAAGGGCTTCGATGACATCGGCCTTTGGAAATACCTCAAGAGGTATTCGATTATGTTTACACAAACAAATTACTAATAAGGTTTTGAAATGTCGAACCTTCGAAGAAACCTGCGGGTGCCAAAAACACATGCTAAGGCATAATTAAATTCTCACTAAGTCTTTTAAGCCGAAACGAGGGAAAAATTATATAGTCATTCTAAGAGGCCGAATCGGCCAATGGCTAATATATAAGATCCCAGGGGCTAGCTTAAAGAGCCTAGCCGATATATAAGAGCCCAAGGGCCAACTTAAAGAGCCTAAGGGCCGATATATAAGAGCCCAAGGGCCAACTTAAAGAGCCTGAGGGCCGATATATAAGGGCCTAAGGGCCAACTTCGAAAGGCTTAAGGGCCAAAAACGTATTATACGAGACTCCATTCTCACTCGACCCGGACTCAAGAGTCACGGTATCCCGAGCTTGAGTCAGATCGATTTAAACTTGGCTCAAGGATTACTATTTTTGTTAATAAGGATCTAAGGGTTTACTATTTCCCGAGCCCAAGCCAATTCCAGGACCAATCATTCAAGTTATACAAAAGAGGGATTCCATAAATCAAACAATATGAAATCCAGCACAAGTCGAAAATGAGATAGAGAGTTCCTATTATATTTCCAAAATATGATTACAGGGGATGTTTTCACAAGGGATACTTGCACAAAAACAAAATAAGGAAACGTAAAACTACTTCGGAGTCACATCTTCGGCAGCCTCATCCTCGGGAGCCTCATCTTCGAAAGCCTCATCCTCAAAGACTTCACCCTTGTCTCCTCCACTCTCGGAGCAATTGGCTGAATCATCCTCATCGGAAAGCAGAGCGGCAGCCTCTTCTTCCAAAATCTTTGCCCTTTCAATATCGGCGGAGAGATCGAAGCCGCGAGCGTGTACCTCCTCGAGGGTAGTCCTCCGAGATTGACGCCTAGCATGATCAAGTGCACTTGATAACTTAACTTCTGCTGCAGAAGAGATCTCCTTTGCCCGAGCATTAGCCGCTTCAGCATCGGCTCGGTACGAAGACATAATTGCCTCAGCATCAGATCTGTCCTTAGCCAACTCAGCAGCGGATTTAGCTCTAAGCTCCTCGATGTCGCGGCCTCGAGCTAGGCTCTCCTCCTTCACACTTTGAAACTGACGTTCGAGGGAAGCCAGCTCTGCTCGAAGAGTTTCTATCTCAGAGGCGAGATTGTCCATGCTTTGCCTCCACCCCAAGGTCTCGGCCTTTTTCATCTTAAGCTCCTCCTGAAGCTGTGCCACTAAGTCGGCCTTTTGATAAAACTGCGAAATTAAAGATATTAGACGTCAAAACAAGCAAGATCATAACAGGCCCTCAAAGGTTATATTATCTTCTCAACATACTCGGCCCGTCTTTGGAAAGCCTGGGTCAATTCAACTCGAAGATCGCTGATCTCCACCTCTTTCTTAACATAGAGGTTTATAAGATCGTCCCTTTCTTTCGAAATCTTTTTAAGCTCAGCCTCACATCGAGCAAGATCAGTTCGAGACTTGGAAAATACCTTTTTGTGGAGCACCACAGCCTTCATAAAAAAGGAGGAAAGATGGATTCAGAACAGCAAAAACATAGGCGCAGGCATAACAAACAGAAAACTCACTTGTTTGAAGAGTCTACGAGCCTCATCAAAAATGAAAGAAGCATCTGGGGCGGGGCCATCTTCAAGCCCTACAAGGCATTCTCGAAAGATGTCATGTCCTTCATGGCTTGCTTCCACTTCAGAAGACCTCATATTCTGAGCGCCTCGGATTTTCCCCTCGGAGAACTCGGGGCCAGGAGGTGAATCATCTACATTGATTACCCCAAATGATACACTCGAGGCGTTATCTTTATTTTGAAGAGGCTCAGGACTGGGCCGTTCAGCCTCACCCTCCAAATGGCCTCCTAGGCAAGGTGCCTTTTTTCTGTACAATAGCTCGGGGACTTTATTTGAACTCCCCTTGGAGATTTCTTCGACTCGGGAATGAGCCACATCGATCTTCACCGGCTCGACGGACTTCGAAGCACCAGCATTTTTTCTTTCACGGGCTACCAACAGGCAGTCGTCATCTTCTTCTTCCTCCTGATCCCGAAGGCGTTGTGCCATTTCCGGAGATGAGGCCGCCGTATCGACCTTGGACCTTCGAGCCACGCTCTTCTTAGGCTTCGGGGGATTTGCGGGCGACTCTCTTTTTCTCTTTCTTTCTTTAGAAGACTTGGAACTTCTTCTTCATCATCCGGAGCCGGCCGCATAGCAACAATGTCTCCAAGACCTATACAAAACCGAAGTAAATATACCATAAAGAGAAGTACAAGAAAGCAAGCAAGGGAGCTCACCATGGTTTTTGGCCTCCCATCGACCCTTGGCCAAATCTCGCTAGCAACGCTTCGAATAAGAGGAAGCGGAAGCCAACTTTCGGACCTAGCCTTCGAGGTCCGGGAACCCACCAGGAAACCAAGCAGTGGCTGCGCCATCGGAAAGGGGTTAGATCAAAGAGAAGGATAAAACTAAGAAAAAGAAAAGAAAGCAGGGTATAAACCTGCTATGTACTTACACTTCATGTTCCACTCCTCGGGGAACGACATCCAATCAACAGGAATTAGGTCAGAGGTCCTGACTTGGACAAACCGGCTCATCCACCCTCGGTCTTTGTCCTCGTCGATGCTACAGAAGAGAGATTCCGGGGATCGATGTTGCAATTTTATCAGGCCACCACGATAAAGTTGAGGACTGTACAGTCTGATCAGATGGTCGAGGGTAAAAGACATCCCCTCGACATGGCTTGAAAAGAACCTGATCAAGTAAACGATTTGCCAGAATAAGGGGTAGGTCTGACCAAGCATCACTCGGTATCGTTGGCAAAAGTCAAGGATAGCTGGATCTATGGGACCCTGAGCCAGAATTGCAGGACCCAGCGTGAATGGGTAGGTATATACGCTCAAGTACCCCGTTTTATATGTAGTGATGTTCTCCTCGGAGGAAGGAATCACTACTTCCTTTTTCTCCCACTTGCAGTCTTCCCTTACTTGCGCGAGCTCGTCCTTGGTTATCAAACAAACGTACCGAGACATGGGCTCACATCGGCCTGGTGTCGACATAGGTTTCTCGATTTTGAACTCGGATGTTATTTCACATGGCGGGGGGATGCACTCCTCAATACGAGGGGGCACCACCGGTTTGCCCTTGGTCGGTCGAGAAGATGAATTAGAGGTTTTAGCCATCACAATACGAAAATTCAAGAAAAAGGAGAATGTTGATAGGAAAATAGAAGAAAAGGAAGAATTCAGGGAAATTGAAAGAGCTAACGAGACTTTGAAAACAATACGAGAATAAAGTTTGCAAAGGTGTGAAGTTTATCTATTTATAGGGGTCTTGTAACCGTACTTTGGAAGACAAAAGGCCGACCGTCAGCCGCCTCCAATTAATGACTTTGGGAACCGCACAAAAAGTAACTTTTCAGTCACTTCAGCTGCTGATGTCACGAGATTGGCGTCAGGATCGAGGCGTCGAAAGTTAATCCGTTTTTATCAACCTATTTCGAGTTCGAGCAAGTGCTAGCTCGGCTACTAAGCCCACGGGCTACCCGATTTTGAGAAAATTCTCATTCGGGGACTGTCTACAAAGCCTAAGGGCTAACTTTAATTCAAATTCGAAACCTTGCTCTCACTCAGATCGAACTCAAGCATCGGTGTCTCGAGCTCGCATCAAATCAACTTAAGCCTGGCTCGAGGGTTAACAAAAACCCTAAGGGGTATTATATTGATCAATTAAAACCTAAGGGTATATTATGTTCTGAGTCCAGTGATCGAGCCAGTCACCAAAGTTATGCCATTGAATGTTTTCGTAGATAAAGATGGAATGAAAAATTCAACACGAGCCGAAAGTAAGACAAAGAGATCCTTTTATATTTACAAGAGATGGTTACAAAATATAACTACAATATCCATGAAGGGTATTCAAGCAGGAACAAAGAAACAAGAAACATAGGACAACAACCTAATATACTCTTGAGGCCGCGTCCTCGAGAGTACCATCTTCGGGAACCTCCTTCCCGGGGACTCCACTTCTGATCTTTGAAAAATGTATGTACGCCCGAAGAGATTTAGGGCAAAAAACCCTCGATGAATATAACCATATTACCAGCAACATGGATTGAGCATTCCGTTGAAATTTTGGGACATAATCCGCTAAAAAGGGAGCAGCAAAAGAAAAGACCAGAAGATGTAGATTTACCTTTTATCACAAGAAAAATCAAAATGGTTACAAGATGTACAAGCAACGATCCAAGAATGTTCATCCTTGGGACGTTGCGCCGGTATAGGATGCAAAAGTTAGTAGACGATACTGCCACCTCATTCCATGGAGAGAAAAAGGAATGAAGTGCTATACCAGGTTAAAGTTAAGAGAGATGAGCAGCAATGAAAAGTTCGCGTATTTTCTAATGCGAGAAGGATTCGGCGTCCTTCTCGCGTTGTTTTAAATCGAAGCTTTGAGAAAGAGAACCTTGGCATAACTGGTAAAATTGCTGCCATATGACCTTGTCTTCACAGGTTCGAACCATAAAAATAGACGATTAAAGAAGGAAGCAAAGAAGGGAAAAGATCAAAAGTAGATAAAGATGAGTAAAGTACAGTTCTTAGTTTAACAGAATAACCTCCTATTTATAGGAAGGCGGTGACGGATCGGTGGCGCAAGTGGCCAACCAACACTGACACGCATTTGATGTTTTGGGGAAGAGCGCCGACGTGACATCTCCGATCATTTCAAGCGCCTACGCCACGAGCGTGACATCATCATGAAAATCTCGGGGAGGTTGAGATGCAAATCGTTTCTTATCATTTTATTCTAAGAAACGCGCAGACTATCTGTATACGGTCGAGATCGAATGCCTCTGATCTATACACTTAGGAGGCCGTCCGAAGTCCGAGTCCGGGTAAGGCCAGGTTAGAGCTCGAGGGACCAGGCCCGAGTTCGAAGGCGACGCACGATGGATACCGAGGTCGGGTGTGTTCTACCCCGAAATAGTACCGTTATGGATTTGTACCGGAACTAGCTTAATTCCTGCCACATCCTTAAAATCATGGCGCAAATTACGGAGTAGGATCGTACAATTCCGTACTAGATGGTTACACAGTTGTACCAAGAATATTCCCAGCTGTAAATATAAATATTCCTTATTTAGGGTTCCCCATTATATAAGGGGGACCTCAATCATTTGTGAGACCATCTTTTACTGAGAAAAGAATATACTCTCTACCTTTTTGCCTGCTGTTCATCAGAATTGTTCCTTAGCTTGATTATTCTTACTTTGATTTTCTTACCTCATTGTTCTTACTGCCTTAAGCCACATCGAGGTCACCTTCTCGAGGTCACTGCTGCTAACTAGCATTGATTTGATTCACTTCTACCTTTCATTTCTACTTCATATTTCTTGATTATTAATTGGTATTGAACTAAATCACATATCTTTAAAACCACAAATCAAGTTTAATTGTTAGTCACACTTTTCGAGGTAAATAATTTTGAATTCGAATTCGGCATCTCGAACAATATATGGTTGATGTTATAAACGTCAATACCACACGGGGG